ACCCTTGGAGACTGTTCTCCTGTCTCCCTTGGTCTTCAGCCCACCCCGCAGAGGCTGTCTTTTCTGGATCTCTCATCTTTCTTGTTGCTTCCCCTGAACCTTCTCCCATGGGCTGCACCTTTCCTCAGGTGGCACGCCCCACACTGGACCCGGTCTTGTAAAACCTTATCCAACCCTTGTGCTGCCTAATAGATTGTGAGGTGGCTTTAAGTGGTTTTCTAAGTACCATGGGCTGAAGTTCAGGAAATGCCTAACCAATCTGTGTACGCTATTTCATATTCTCATTTATTGCAGCTAACACTCTCTTGGTGGAGAGCACAATATCTTATTTATTGCGGTAGGCATCTGCTTGCCGTTGACATTTTTAAAGACTGGTTTTTAACAGAAAAGCAGTGAAACCCTTGAATTCTCAGCCTCCTTTGTCAGCAGCCTTCTCTCCTCTCTGGGTCCGGACCAACACTCCCTTGCTCGTTCTCCTCCTGCTGATGTAGTCTTTTCTTCTTCCTCTTAATGATGCTCGCTATTTCCATCTCAATTTGTGCCTCGGCCTTTCTGATGTTTCTCCACATGCTTATGCTACTCTTAAAACTGTCCTTAGTAATTTGACCTAGTTCCCACTTTCTGTGAACTTTTTTTCTTGAGCCTGAGGTCAGTGAAGAGCTTGCGACGTAGCCAAGCTGGTTCCTACTACATTTCCTATCGGGATGGCTCGTCTGTGTGTTGTTCGCATCGTTTCTCTGAAAGAACCGCCCGTTGCCCTGACTCCTTTCACCTTTAAATGTCCCTCCCATGAGATTTTACCGGTTCTCCAAGTGTCTCGGGGTCCCTTGTCTTTATTTCCCTTTTCTTCCCCATCCCTTCATGAGGGTTGTGAGCTTGGTCACTCCACGCTCAGTCTCGGCCAGCTTGCCTCCTGCCTTTACGTTTGGGATGGGTGTCCGGTGGCTGATGGCCGTCGCTGCCTGCCGGCGTGCTGGGCTGCCTGCACCCTGCTCTCTCCCCCTCCCAGTAAAACCAGCGAACCCAGCCCGCGTGCTGGCTGGCATGACACAAGGCGGTGACAAAGAGGGGCTGCCGTGGTTAAAGCCATCCCCAGGGCCTCACTCGCATCAGCGATCTCGTGCCCAGCTGCTCTTGCCCGCGCTGAGCGTTTCACAGTTTATGGAGCTAAGAGGATTTCGCGTTTCCTCTCTCTTTAAATCCAACGCAGAGTCAGTTTTACGCTGGATTTGCTCCTTGTTACAGTGAGACTAAGGGAATAATTGGTATTCCCCATCACTAAATACTGGGATCCTGGTGCTTTCTGGCTATGCAAACACCAGTTAAGGGCTCCCACAAGCCAGGAGGCAGCCCAGCAATGGTGGGAAGACCTGGGCGGCAGCGGAGATGCTCCCACATCTCACACTGAGCCACAGGACCCGTCTCCTCCCGAATGCGCCTTTGGGTCACCGGGAAGCACCCGGAGCTCCCCGTGCAGCAGTCCTGCAGCTCCCGGGGATGGTCCAGGCGGGTCAGGAGGGTTTGGGAACGGTCCCTCAAGCCTGACCCTGCTGTCCCCGGGTCTGGGAGGCGGGAGGTGGGACAGCAAAGGGTGAGGATCAGGCTGACCACCGGTAGATGCGTCAACCAGAGCAGGGCTATGGCTGTGGTCAAAGGGAGCCAGACCGTACCGTGGTGGAGGACGTGGGTCAGATAAGCCCCGCTCAGGGGGAAAGGAGACAGCTGGTCTCATCTTCCAAATATTCCTCGAAGGCAAGGGGAGCTGCCGGGGCTGCGGGACCAGCTCTCAGGCAAGGAGATGGCCCCGGGGGTGTTTAAAATGTCACCAAGGGGGGAAGACGCGGCGCTGCCACACCGGCACGGTCCGCCGAGGCAGCAGGATGCGGGTTTGGGGTGGGGTGGGAGCATCCGGGGCCGCGCGCGGGGCACAGCGGGGGCCCCCGCCGGCGTGGTGGGTGCCAGCACCCCGCGACGACGGCTGTGCTCGGCGTGTGTCAAACCCAAGCCAGCAAGGAGAGGACACGGGGGCAGAGATCCCACTCCACCAGCTCCGGGGATCAAACAGATCCCCGGCCTCTGCTCCCCAGGGGGAGCTCCCAGCGGCTTGGGGAGGGACGGCCGAGCGGCGGGTCTGAAAGGAGCAGCGTCCCGCACCGAGGGCGGCTTGGCCGGTGAATCGGGACTCGGGCTGTTTTGTTTCAGGCAGCCGGGGCTCATCAGGAGGAAGAAAGGCTCCTTGTCTCGGGGTCGCGGCTCTAATCCCGTTTTGTGTCTGCGAGAGAAAAGGAGGAGGCCGGAGCGAGGAGGACAGACCCGGTACCGATGCCAAGTCCCTTCCCTTCGCACCCGGCGTCCCGTGCCAGCCCTTGCCCGGCCACAAAAGGCCGCCTCCCCTCCCAACGAACTAACCAAGCATTTAAATTTAATAGCTGTCCGCAACCTCGCTCTTTCAAAGTCGATTAGGCATTTGATTAAAGCCCCCGTGTTGCTTTGCTGGCCGGGAGGCAAATTCCTCTGCAGGGCCCATAAAATCGGCTCCGGTGACCGATGGATGTGGCACACGGCGGCTGCTCTTCGCTGTCCCCCCCTGCTCTCCTGGCCCTTCGGGTAACCCCGGCTGTCCCCTCCATCCCGATGCCCCCGCGCTCCTCCCTCCTCCGGGGGCAAAGCCAGAGCGGGAGGCGAGCCCGCGGGCTGGGGATGTGCTGTCACCCGGGGGGGGGGGGGAGGGAAGTTGAGGCACGGCGAGGGATGCTGAGCCCGGCGCGAGGAGGGGCTCCGGGGCTCGTGGCCGGCCGGAGCGAGATGGGGAACGGAGGTTGTGTCTTCGTGCGGGAAACGGGAGCACGCCGGGTTAGGTGAGTGGGGTCTGAAGCAGGGGGCACAGCAAAGAGGGGAATAACGGGGGTCAGACGGACGCCCCCGGAGCGGAGGGGTGGGGGGGACAACCCCCCCCCCCCCCCCCCCCCGCTCTCTTAACGTGTGTGTCACGAGCAGGAGCATCCTTAGACCTGCTTAAATCCTTGTGACCCAATTCTGCCCCGCAGCCCGTGGGGGTGAGCGGCTGCGGCCGCGAGCGTTGGGCCGAGGATGAGACCCGTCCCCCTCGACGCCTCCTCAGCTCCGCTCCGAAACGCGGGGTTAACACGGAGGGGCTGCCCCCCCCCCCCGGCTTTGGGGAGAGGCCGGCCCCCCCTCTTTGCCCACCTCGGCCGCGTGCCGGGCGATGACAAACGGGTGGGCCAAGGCCCAGCAGCTCCAGTTGCCACTTTGCTCACTGAGGAGAAACCCCCCCCCCCCCAGCCCTCCAAGGCAGAAGGAGACGCACCAGGGACTCCTGCTTCCCCGAATCGCCCGGAGGGGGAAGGCTGCCCCGTCCCCAGGCCTGCTGCTGGCCACCACACCGGGGATGAGCTTTCACCGGCTGCTGCTTCCCTGCAAAGGTGGATTCCTTCTCTCCCCAGGCAGCGTGGGGCTGGACCCACAGGCACCAGCAGGACGGAGCATCCAGCTCCCCCGACTCCCTCCGGGGGCAGCTGGAGACGAGGGGTGGGCTCCCCCAGCCCCGCAGTGCCCCTTTCCCTCCTCTCCCCCCCCCCAACAGCCCCACGGGCGTTTCTCACCCACAACCCCACGTCATTCTCCGAGCCCCTCGGACATCCCCTTCCTTACGCAAGCCCGTAACCACTCCTTCTCCCCTCGCTCCTCGTACGCCAGCATGGGGCTTCTCCCTCTTGTCACAGCGATGCTCATCCCGCTCCGGGACCCTTTCCCTCCCAAAACCTCGTGCCCAGCCTCCGCCCCAGCCAGGACAACCCGCCTTTCCATGAGGATTTCTCGGGCATCAGCATCTCCTCCCCGCTCTGCCGGGCTCCTGCTCCCCCGACACGTCGCTCTTCCCCTGGCCTTGGCCCCAGCCGTCTTGCCCCGCTGTGCCCGGGTGCTTTAGCCATGGTTTTACCTGTCGTTCAGCTCCGTGCTGGAAGGGGAACGGCAAAAAAAAAAAAAAAAAAAAAAACAAAAAAAAAAAAACCAAATCCCCGACGGTGCCGGCCCAGCCGCTCGCTCCGCTTCATGTGACCCCCGGGATCGTCCGCCGGCTCCTGCCGCCACCCCTCATTTTTTAACCTTCCCGAGTGGGCTGAGAATTAATTATTTAGCAGCTGACCGAAAGCATCGGGAAGGTCTAAAACACGCTGAGTTGCGGCTTCAGCTCCTACCTGCCCCGGGGAGATCGCCAGCTGCATCCCTAACGCACGGCACGCTTAATATTGTGTGTTGATTAATTGCTTCATTTCCTCTCTGCCGAGGAGCTGTGAGCTCTGGCTCACCGCCACGCTCGGTCCCAGGGTGATGGCAATCAGAGGTGGGGGGGGTGGGGTGGGGGGCTACTGCTGATTTACACCAGCAGGAGCCGGGCCAGCATCACCAAATCTGCCAGGGGTTTTGCTGGATGGAAACAAGGAGCTGGGGGGCTGGGGGGGGTGAGAACCCCAAATCCCACTGACATCCTGGGCAGCTCCATCCAGAGGAGCTGTTGGGGCAGGAGGTGGCTGGGAGCACGTGGTCGGGGATGGCTACACACACACACCCCCCCTGCACCCACAGTTTGGGGGGGGGACACCCCATGATGGGGACAGGGACGGAGCAGACCCTGTGAGCAGGGAGCAGCCCAGACACCTCCCCCCCCCCCCCCCAAACATCATCCCTGGGGGGGGTCCCGGCTGTGCCCAAGTGTGTCCAGGATGGCAGCACCCCGCACCGGGACGCATTGCCCCCCTGGCTTGGCAAAGCTGGGGGAGGGCAGGGAGGGGGGGTCGGGCATCCCCCCCCCCCCCCCGAGTGACACTCGGGTGGGACCCAGGGAAGCAGGGACAGAACCTGCTGTGTCTGTGGGGAGAGCGCAGGCACTGGCAAGAGGCTTAACCTTTTTTTTTTTTTTTTTTTTTTTTAAAAAAAAAGAGTTTTATTTCAAGATCTTCCTTTTTTTGTTGTTGTTGTTGTTGTTGTTGCTGTTGTTGGTTTTACTCGTATTTCAAAAAAAGTGGGGTAAAAGTACAAAAAAAAGTCAGTTGCGGAACGGCAAAGGTTTAGAAATCACAGCGCTGAACTAACCCAAGCGATAGACACGGAGCACAAACCAAACACCCCCACGACACGACGCGGCCAAAGACCAGTTACAGCCTTTGGCTTTGTATTATTATTATTATTATTAATATTATTATTATTATGAAGAAGAATTAATTTTGTTTGTTTTCCTCTGTACAAAACACACCAAAGCATGCCACGGAGTGGGGAAAAAGAGATACTGGCTGGAGACAGGAGATTTGTACCGCAGGGGACGGGAGGGCTCCTGCTCGTGCTTCCTCCTCCTCCTCCTCCTCCTCCTCCTCCTCCCCTGCTCACGTCAGGTTGTTCTGCAGAGAGTTGAGCTCGCCGCCGTCCTGCTCCCCTTTGCCGCCGCCGTCGTGCTTGGGCGACGTTGAGTTGTGGATGTTAAACGGCTCCTCGTCCTTCAGGCAGGATTTCAGGGAATCCTGCAGCTTGTGGGGAGCGCTGGGCTCATCCTGCCAGGAGAAATTGGGGAAAGGGGGGGGGGGGGGGGGGTCAGGAGGTGACCGTGGTGGTGGTGGGGGGGACGCTGGGACAGTGAAGGCACCGATGTCCCCGTGGGCAATGCTGCACCCCGAGCCGGGCTCTGCGGACGTTTCGGCACGGGGGGGGAGCGCGGAGCTTCACGGCGTGGGGGGGGCTGAGAGGGTCTGACCCCCCTGCAGTGACCTGGGGGCCGTTCCCCACCACGGCTTCCCTACCTCGGGGTGCCTCCAGCACCCAAAACCGCTCACCAGCAGCGCCCGAGAGCCGGCCACGGGACCCATCCCACCCCCCTCCCTCCTCCAGCTGTGCCCCCCCCCCCCCCCCCAATTTCTCTTCCCGTTTCCAGCCCGCCTCATCAGCCCCACGCCAATTAGCAACTCCCTTGCGCTTGGCAGGAGGCCCGAGGGTTGGATTTATTGCGGTTCGTTAGCGTACAGCCGGCCCCGGGGATGCCTCTTCCCCACGTCCCGTCCCCCCCACGGCTACCGGGAGCATCTTCCCCCACGGCTGGGCTGCACCCCAAATTTGTCCCGCGCCCACGGGGAGAGTGGGGGTGTCCCCCCCCCCCCCCCCCAAGCCCCGGCACCGGGGCCAAGCTCTGGCTGCGTTGGGTAACGTCTGCGCCCGGATGGTCCCAGCGTCGCTGTCGGTGCTGGCCGGGCAGGATGAGCCCTGGCATGGGGGGGGGGGTTGGGGGGGGGGGGCTGCGGGGCACCCCCTGGATCCGTGGCGGGGACGGCAGCCGGCGAGCGGCGGAGGGACGGGGAAAGCCCAAGGGCCGGTGTCACAGCCGCGCTCGTGCAAGGACGGGAAAAACCTCCATCTCCTGGGCTCGTGCCACCAGCTCCCCGGCAAACCCCGCGGGATGGGCACCGAGCCGAGGGGCTGCACCGCGTGTCCCCAAAAACCCCTTCCCCAGGGCGGGGGGGGGGGGGGTGTGGGGTGTGGACCCCACTGTCCCCCTCCGCATCCTCGGCGCGCTGCGTCCCGGGCACCACGTGCCGGTGTAGGACCGAGTTCGCCGCATCCCGGAGGGGACGAGGGATGGCTCAGACCCCTCCCGGCGAGACCAAATTCATCCCCAGGTTCGTCCGTCCTCTCCGTCACCGGGAGCCTCCTGCCAGGGCGGCCGGGCCGAGCGGCAGCAAACGCTGCGGCTGCTACCGGCGGTCGAAAAACGGGGCAAAAAAAACCCATTTCTGGGCCGAGGGCAAAGGCTAGAGGGCCCCACGCTGCTCGTCCGCCGGCTCGCGCTCGGCAAAGCCCTTCGCTTCTCTCTGTTTCGGTTGCAAAAGACACGAGGTTGGAAGAGCAGGCCCCGTGGGGCGGGGGGGATGCGGGCGGCAGCATCCCGGGGGGGGTGGGGGGGGTGGGATTTCATCCTCCAGCATCACCCGGGGGTCCTGCCCCAGCGATGCCGCAGCTGGGGAACATCGTCTGCCAGCACCACGTCGTGCCCCTCCCTGAAAATTCCGGCACCCACACGCGGAGCCAAAGCCATCGGGCAACTCTGGATGGTGCCACGCGGGCAGAAAGGGACGGGGCGGGGGGGGGGGTGGCACTGACCCCTCCCTGCCTGACCTGGGTTTGGGTAGTCGGGGCAGGATACGGCACCCGACAGCGAGGGGCCGGAGCGGTGGCCGTGGAGGGATGGGGACCACGGGAAGGGGGGGACAGACGAGGTGTTAGAGGACAGAGGGACAAGGGTGGGACAGCAAGCGGGGGGGGGGGGTGAGGTGTGTGTGTGTGTAGGGGGGGGACGGTGCAGAAAAACCTCCTTACGTTTGGGTGGGAGCCCTCGGCGATGGTGGAGAGGGAGAAGTTGTCGTTGTGCAGCTCGGACGGGGTGCGGTATCTGCCGGGGGGAGAAGAGAGCGCGGCGGTGAGAATGGGGGGAGGCTGCCGTGCACCCCCCCCACAGCGTGTCGGGGTGAGCCCGATGTTGGGGGGGGGTGTGTGTGTGTAAATGCTCCCAGCGCTGGGGGTCTGGAGGTTAAGTAGCACCAGGGATGGAGGTTTGGGGCTAAATGCCCCCAGATCTGGCATTTTTGGGGGGGGGGGGGGGGTAACTGCCCCCAGCTCTGGGGTTTGGGGCTATGTGTCCCCAGGGATGGAGGTTTGGGGCTAAATGCCCCCAGATCTGGCATTTTGGGGGGGATAAATGCCCCCAGCTCTGGGGTTTGGGGCTATGTGCCCCCAGGGATGGAGGTTTGGGGCTAAATGCACCCAGATCTGGCATTTTTTTGGGGGGGGGGGGGGTAACTGCCCCCAGCTCTGGGGTTTGGGGCTATGTGTCCCCAGGGATGGAGGTTTGGGGCTAAATGCCCCCAGATCTAGCATTTTGGGGGGGATAAATGCCCCCAGCTCTGGGGTTTGGGGCTATGTGCCCCCAGGGATGGAGGTTTGGGGCTAAATGCCCCCAGATCTGGCATTTTTTGGGGGGGGGGAGGGGTAACTGCCCCCAGCTCTGGGGTTTGGGGCTATGTGCCCCCAGGGATGGAGGTTTGGGGCTAAATGCACCCAGATCTGGCATTTTTTTGGGGGGGGGGGGTAACTGCCCCCAGCTCTGGGGTTTGGGGCTATGTGTCCCCAGGGATGGAGGTTTGGGGCTAAATGCCCCCAGATCTGGCATTTTGGGGGGGCTAAATACCCCCAGCTCTGGGGTTCGGGGCTACGTGTCCCCGGGGATGGAGGTTTGGGGCTAAATGCCCCCCGATCAGGTAAGGTGCAGGCAGGGGGGCGGCGGGGGCAGCCCAGGGCAGGCAGGAGCCGCGGGCTCCCAGCGCCCGAGAGGGAGACCCGTGGGCTGGCACTGAGCTCTGCTGCTAATTACACTTGGCACTGCTAAACACTAATTAAGAGCTCGTTAGGGACCGGGGCTGGGAGGGCTTTCTCCTCCCCTGCTCCAAGGAGGTGGGCAGCAATTGCTGGGGTGGGGTTGACCCCAACTTTCGCCTGTGTTGCGCCCCCCCCCCCAAGCCCTGTCCCCAGGGACACAGTGGGGACAGACAATCTCCGGTGGCCCCTGGGCAACGTGGCGAGCGCAGTCACTGGCCCCAGCTCCCAGTGCAGCAGATTAACGGGTGCCAGTCGGGAGCAGCTTTAAAGGATTAACCGCGGAGCAGGAGCCACAAGCCACGTCCCTGGAGTTGGGGGGTGGGTGGCACCCACCCCCAGGAGCTTTCCCACCCACCGTCACCTTGTCCCCATCAGCGCAGGAGGGTCCTGGTGCCGCTGCACGGGGACGGGACCACATCCACCGCAGGGAGCCGAGACCACCGGCCGGCCTGGAGCGGTTTGGGGACATTTTGAGGGGTGCCAGCCCCGTCCCGCTGCCACTCACTTGGTCTTGCGCAGTTTGCTGTTCTCCGTCTTGAGCAGGTAGAGCTTCTTGGCGAAGAAGACGGTGAGCATGAAGAGCAGCAGCACCACGAGGGCGGCCGAGCCCACGGCCACGCACATCACCTGGAAGTCGGTGACGATGGCCTCGCAGCGCGTGCCCTTGTGCCACGTGTAGTCCTGCGTGTTGCACCTGCAAGGGGAGGCGGTTAGGGGGACGCCCCCACCCCCCCGCCCCAAAAACACGTCCCCGTCCCACAGAGCATCCTCGGGGGACACCGCCATCCGTGATCAGGGAGATTACAGGGGATGAGATTAAAGAGTCCCCCGGGGCCACCCTGGGAGGGGTGACACCCCACCCCACCCCCCACTCAAACGCTGCAGCCACATGAGCTGGGTGACAGCGGGGGGGGACGCTGGGAGTGGGGTTGGGGTCCCCCCGGGCGATGCTCACCCCCCCTGCACCCCACACTCCTGGCTCCTGGCCCCAGCGGTGATGGGGAGCGGGGTAGGGGTTGGGGGACACACACACACACCCCCACCCACCCGTGTCCCCCCCCCCCCTTCCCCGTGCGGGAGGGCACGACGACGTGTGCTGAGCCGTACGGCACAGCCGGGCTCAGCCCTCCCCAGGCACAATCTGCCGGGGCCGATTAGCGCGGAGGCCCCGGAGCCTCGGCTCGGCGGCCCTGACCTAATTCCTGGGCAGCCGCTGCTCAGGGGGGGCAGGGAAAGCCCCTCTGTGCCCCGGCGGGGTGGGGCTGGGGGGGCAAAGGCACCTGGCTGGGGTGCACAGGGGGTGGGGAGACTGGGAATGGGGTGAACAGCGGATGGGGAGACTGGGAATGGGGTGAACAGGGGATGGAGGGACTGGGGATGAGGTGCAAGAGGATAGAGGGACTGGGAATGGGGTGCAGGATGGAGGGACTGGGATCCAAGAGGATAGAGGGACTGGGAACGGGGTGCACAGGGGATGGAGGGACTGGGAATGGGGTGCAGGAGGATGGGGAGACTGGGAATGGGGTGCACAGGGGATGGAGGGACTGGGAATGGGGTGCAGGAGGATGGGGAGACTGGGAATGGGGTGCACAGGGGATGGAGGGACTGGGAACGGGGTGCACAGGGGATGGAGAGCCCAGAGATGTGGTGCATGGAGATGGAGAGCCTGGGAGTGGGGTACAGGAGGCTGAAGAGCCCAGAAAGGGGGTGCATGAGGACGGCAAAGCCCAGAGATGGGGTGCATGGAGATGGAGAGCCCAGGGATGGGGTGCACAAAGGGTGGAGAGCCTGGAAATGGGGTGCGGGAGGATGGACAGCACAGGAATGGGGTGTGTGGAGATGGAGATCCCAGGATGGGGTGCACAAGAGATGGAGAACCTGGGAGTGGGGTGCAGGGGAGATGGAGGGCCCGGGAACAGGGTGCACGAGGAAGACAAGCCCAGAGATGGGGTGCATGGAGATGGAGAACCCAGGGTTGGGGTGTATGGAAATAGAGAGCCCACGGGTGGGGTGCACAGGGATGGATAGGCTGGGAATGGGGTGCACGAGGAGGGTGAGAGCCTGGGAGTGGGGTGAAGGAGGATGGAGAGCCCAGGATGGAGTGCGTGGGGATGAAGAGCCTGGGAATGGGGTGCAGGGGTGATGGAGAGCCTGGGAACGGGGTGCAGGAGTGATGGGGGGCAGGAGGATGGAGAGCCTGGGAACGGGGTGTAGGGGGATGGAGAGCCTGGGAATGGGGTGCAGGGGTGATGGAGAGCCTGGGAATGGGGTGCAGGAGTGATGGGGGGCAGGAGGATGGAGAGCTTGGGAACGGGGTGTAGGGGGATGGAGAGCCTGGGAATGGGGTGCAGGGATGATGGAGAGCCTGGGAACGGGGTGCAGGGGGATGGAGAGCCTGGGAATGGGGTGCAGGAGTGATGGGGGGCAGGAGGATGGAGAGCCTGGGAACGGGGTGCAGGGGGATAGAGAGCCTGGGAATGGGGTGCAGGGGTGATGGAGAGATGAGGGATGGGGTGCAAGAGGGATGGAGAGCCTGGGAATGGGGTGCAGGAGGATGGAGAGCTTGGGAATGGGGTGCAGGGGTGATGGAGAGCCTGGGAATGGGGTGCAGGGGTGATGGGGGGCAGGAGGATGGAGAGCCTGGGAACGGGGTGCAGGGGGATAGAGAGCCTGGGAATGGGGTGCAGGGGTGATGGAGAGATGAGGGATGGGGTGCAAGAGGGATGGAGAGCCTGGGAATGGGGTGCAGGAGGATGGAGAGCCTGGGAACGGGGTGCAGGGGGATGGAGAGCCTGGGAATGGGGTGCAGGGGTGATGGAGAGATGAGGGATGGGGTGCAAGAGGGATGGAGAGCCTGGGAATGGGGTGCAGGGGTGATGGAGAGCCTGGGAACGGGGTGCAGGGGTGATGGAGAGCCCAGGGATGGGGTGCAGGAGGGATGGTGAGCCTGGGAACGGGGAACAGGGGGATGGAGAGCCCCCCCACCCCCCCCCCCATCTCCCCACAGGACCCGGGGTCCCCGTCCCTTACCGGCAGAAGGCCCCGTGGCTCTCCACCAGGTAGCACTGGCCGCCGTTGTGGCAGTAGCTGGGGACGAGGTCGCAGACGGAGCGGCAGGAGCTGTTGTGCCGCACGTAACCGCTCCGGCACTCGGTGCCGTTTTCCGGGGGGCCCCGCTCCCCCGGCCGCGGCCGCGCCGTGGGGCTGCCCCCCGCCACGCCGGAGGGCTGCGCCAGGGCCGTGTCGCGGCGGCCGGTGGGTCGGGGGTCCCGTGGCACTGGCTGGGCACCGGGCACGGCCGAAAGCGGGTGGCCGGTAGCTGTTCTCGTCCTCCAGCCCATCTTCCTCCTCTTCCTCCTCCTCCTCCTCCTCCTCCTCCTCCTCCAGCTCGTCCTCCTCGTCGCCGTCGGCGTAGAAGGAGGTGGTGGGGTAGAAATCGGCTTCGTCGAAAGGCGTGAAGTCGTCGTAGAGCTCGTGGAGGGCCCACGGCGTGGCCGCCCCCTCCGGCTCCCGCCGCCGCGCCGAGCCGGCCGCCCCCCCGGCCACCCCCGGGGAACCCCCCCAGTCCCTCTCCCCCCTCAAACAGGTCGTAATAGTCAACATCGATGATCTCCGAGGCCGTCCGGTCGGCCGGCGGCTCGGCCGGGCCCGAGGCAGCGGTGACGGGCTCCTCCGCCTCCAGCCAGGTCAGATCCGTCCGGCCGTGAGCCCCCTGCGCCGGGGCCGGGCTGGATGCGGCCACCCAGAGCTCCGGGGGGCGCCCCGAGTCCCCCCCGGCGCCGGGCACGGGGCTGGGGTCACCCGGCACGGGGGTCCGCGGCGCGGCCGAGCCCCCGGCCGCCAGCAGCAGGTCAGCTTCGGCCGAGGGGGTGGCGAGCTGCCGGCCCGGGGGGCTCGCCGGGGCGGCCGTGAGCCCCCCCAAAACCCCCGGCTTGGCCAGGGAGGTTTGCGTGGGCCGCTCGCCGCTCCCCGGCTCCTCGGGGCTACCGAGTGCCACCGCCCCCCCCTCCCCGGGCCAGGTCACCGCTGCCTGGCCGCGTCCCCCCCCCCGCCGAGGCGGTTTTGGGGGGCAGAGCGCTGGCGTCGCCCTCCCCGGTGCACCCCGTGCACCCCTCCGCCAGCGCCGCCGGGTCCGTGGTGCCAGCCGTGACCCCCCCGGGGGGCTCTAACTGGGGTCCCGCCGGGGGCTGGCCGCCCCCCGCCGCCCCCCCGGGGCTGGTGCTGTTGCTGGGCCCCCCCGGGGGGTCTCTGCTCGCCGGGTCCCACCGCGGGGGGCTGCTCTCCAGGGAGCCCTCCCAGCCTCTCCCCTCGGCCTCGCTGGCGTTTTGGGGGGGCCACTCGGATGCTGGAGGGGGACAAGGAGAGAAAGACGTGTCAGAGGTGCCCCCCCACACCCCAGGGAGGCTGCGGTGGCTTGGGGGGGGGGGGGGGGGGGCGGTCCCGGTGGGTCCCCGCCTGCTCGACCTCACATCCACAGCACCATGATGAGCCATTGCGGGGGGGCGGGGGGGCTGCACCCCGAGTCTTTTACAGCCTCTCCCGGGGACCCAGCTCTCTGGGTCCCCCCCGCACCCACGTCAGAGCCCATCATCACCCCCCCCAACCACAACACAGCCCCCCCCACGCCAAACTGCCCCCAACCCAGGGCCCCCAGTTGCCCTGCAAGGGCAACTGGCCTCTCCTGCCCCTGCAAAGGGACCCACCCTCCCCCAAAGGGATCCAGCCCCTCCTGCAAGGGGATCCACCCTCCCCCAAGGGGATCCACACACACACACCCCCAACAAGGGGATCCAGCCCTCCTGCGGTTCCTGCAACTGCACCCCAACCACATAATGGGATCCAGCCCTCCCCACAACGGGATCCAGCTGCCTGCAAGGGGATCCAGCCCCTGCAACAGGATCCAGCCCCCCCGCCATGGAATCCAGCCCCCTTACGAAGGGATCCAGCCCCCCTCTGGTTCCTGCATATCCATCCCATATACACAAGAGGATGCAGCCCTCCCCACAACGGGATCCACCCTCCTGTGAGGGGATCCAGCCCTACTCGGGCTCCTGCAAGTGCACTTGATAATCACACAACTGGATCCAGTCTCTGCAAACGGATCCAGCCCCTGCAACAGAATCCAGCCCCCTACAAGGGTATCCGGCCCCCTTAGAAAGGGATCCAGCCCCCCCCTGCAATGGAATCCAGCCCCCTTACAAGGGGATCCAGCCCTCTCTGGTTCCTGCAAGCGCAGCCCATAATCACAAGGGGATCCAGCCCCTGGCAAGTGGATCCAGCCCTCCTCTGGCTCCTGTAGATGCTCCCCATACACACAACGGGATCCAGCACCGCACCCTAAGGGATCCAGCCCCCCCCCGGCAAGGGGACCCAGCCCCCCCGGCAAGGGGATCCAGCCCCCCCGGCAAGGGGACCCAGCCCTCCTCATGCTACTGCAGATGCACCCCATACCTAAAGGGGATCCAGCCCCTCTGCAACAGGAACAACACACCCCCCCCCGCCCCTGCAAAGGCATCCAGCCCCCGGCGAGGGGATCCAGCCCCCGGCGAGGGGATCCAGCCCCCGGCGAAGGGATCCAGCCCCCCAGTGAGGGGATCCAGCCCCCGGCGAAGGGATCCACCCCCCGGCGAGGGGATCCAGCCCCCCAGTGAGGGGATCCAGCCCCCGGCGAGGGGATCCAGCCCCCGGCGAAGGGATCCAGCCCCCGGTGAGGGGATCCAGCCCCCGGCGAAGGGATCCAGCCCCCGGCGAGGGGATCCAGCCCCCCAGTGAGGGGATCCAGCCCCCGGCGAGGGGATCCAGCCCTCCTCTGGCTCCTGCCGCTGCATCCCATACGCAAAAGGGGATCCAGCACACCCCCCCACCCCCCCACCCCCAAAAAGCATCCAGCCCCCGGCAAGAGGATCCAGCCCCCCCCCCCCCCCCCGCAAGAAGACGCAGCCCCCCGCAACGGGATCCCCCCCCCATATCCCCGGTGCCTGCAGAGGAATGCAGCCCCCCCCCCCCCGCGGCGGGGATCCGCCCCCCCCCCCCCCCCTCCTACAGGTGATGCCCCCCCCGCCGTGTCCGTGTGTCCGTCCGTCCCCGGTACGTACCGAGGGCCCCGAGCGCCAGCAGCAGGGCCAGGGCCGGGGCGGAGCGGGGCCGGGCGGCCGCGGGGGCCATGGCGGCATGGAGGGACCCGCGGCTCCGCCACCGGGGCCGGCAGCGGCAGCGGCTCCGCCCGCGCCCCGCGTACCCCCGCACCGCCCCGCCGGGGGGGGCCGGGGGGGGCGGGGGGGGGGGGCCGGGCCGGGGGCGGGCGGCACCCACCGGCTCCGCCCGCGGGGATGGGGAGGCCGCGGGCGGCACCGGGGCGCGGGGTGGGGACCCCCCCCCCCCCGCCGACAACGGCATCATCGGGGGGGGGACACACACACCCGCCCCCCAAACAGCACCGGGATGCGGCGGCGGGACCCCGCCAGACACCGGCAGCATCGGGACAACTCCCCCCCCCCCCCCCAAACAGCATCAGGACGTGGCGGCGGGACCCCCCCCCCCCAGTACATCGGCATCACTGGGGGGAGACCTTCCCCCCCCCCCCAAACAGCATCAGGACGTGGCGGCGGGACCCCCCCCCCCAATACATCGGCATCACTGGGGGGAGACCTTCCCCCCCCCAAAACAGCACTGGGGTGCGGCGGCGGGACCCCGCCAGACACCGGCAGCATCGGGACAACCCCCCCCCCCCCCCCCAAACAGCATCAGGACGTGGCGGCGGGACCCCCCCCAATACATCGGCATCACTGGGGGGAGACCTTCCCCCCCCCAAAACAGCACTGGGGTGCGGCGGCGGGACCCCGCCAGACACCGGCAGCATCGGGACAACCCCCCCCCCCCCCCAAACAGCATCAGGACGTGGCGGCGGGACCCCCCCCCCCAGTACATCGGCATCACTGGGGGGAGACCTCCCCCCCCCCCCCAAAACGGCACTGGGGTGCGGCGGCGGGACCACCTCCCCCTCTGATAGCGGCATCATCGGGGGGACACCACCCCCCCAAAACAGAACCGGGACGTGGAGACGGGACCCCCCCAGACACCGGCATCATGGGGGGGGGACACTGCCCCCCAGAAACAGCACCGGGAAGTGGAGATGGGGGACCCCCCCCCCCCATACACCGGCATCCCCGGGGACACACCCCTCCGCCCCCCCCCGCAAAACAGCACCAGGACGTGGCGACGGGACCCCCCCCCCACACACACCGGCATCATCAGAGGACACACACCCCCCACCCCCCCAGACAGCACGGGGGGACCCAGCCCAGCTCCCCCCCACACCCCCAAAATGCTACTGCATGGGGGGGGGGGGGGGGGCGCAACCCCGCACCGGGACCCTCCTCCCCCACCCCCAGCACTGGGATCCTTCACTGACCCCCCCAAACTGCTCCGGCACAGGGATTATCCTCACACCAGGATCACCCTGCACCCCCCACCCCTCATGGACCCCCCCCACCCCCAAAATCTGCTGCTGCATGGGGGGAGCACCCCTGCACTGCGCCACCCCCCCCCCCCAGCACCCTCATTGACTCCCCCCCCAAAACGGCTTCTGCAATCAGCACCAGGACCCCCCCCAGCATCATCAGCTGGTGGGGGGGGGGCCCCCCACCCTGAACCCCTGAGCCCCCACTCATGCCCAGCCCTTGGGGGGGGGGCGCTGGGAGCACCCCCCTGGCAGTGAAGGGGGGGCAGAACACCAAAATCCCGGGGTGAAGCCACCGCGCCGGGGCCCCCGTGGGGCCGGGGCACTGGGCAGGGCCCCCCCCCGCGAACACCCCAGGGCCAGTCAGCCCCCCCCCCGAGTGGGCACCGCGGCGCTGGCTCCCAGCACCAAACTGGCCCGGGTGTCGCTGGCTGCCACCACGGTCACCATCACCCGTGACCAGTTCGGGTGGGCGCCAGGAACTGGGATCTGTCTGACAGAGTGGGGGTGCGGGCGGGGGGGGTGAGAAGGGGGGGTGAGAAGTGGGGGTGTGGGCAGGGGGGGTGTGGGCAGGGGGTGAGGCCGAGCTGACGCGGCGGCTGGACGGAGCAGGGAAAAACAGGGAGAGGAAACGTGACCGGCCTTGAACGGGCGGCAGGGCGAGGGCAGAGGGACGGCGGGCAGGAACGAGCGGGAACGGGTGGGAACGGGCGGGAACGGGCAGGAATGGGCAGAAATGGGCATAAACGGGCATAAACGGGCAGGAACGAACGGGCAGGAACGGGCAAAAATGGGCAGGAACGGGCAGGAACGGGCAGAAATGGGCAGAAACGGGCAGGAACGGGCGGGAACAGGCGGGAACGGGCAGGAACAGGCAAAAATGGGCAGGAATGGGCAGGAATGGGCGGGAATGGGCGGGAACGGGTAGAAACGGGCAGAAATGGGCAGAAACGGGCAGGAACAGGCAGAAACGGGCAGAAAAGGGCAGGAACGGGCAGAAACAGGTGGGAATGGCCAGAAACGGGCAGAAATGGGCAGGAACGGGCAGAAAAGGGCAGGAATGGGCAGAAAAGGGCAGGAATGGGCAGAAACGGGTGGGAACGGGCGGGAGTAGGAAGGAGGGAGCAGGACCAGGCAGGAGGGGACAGGAACGGGCAGCAGCCCCACGGCATTCTGAGCACACAGGCACCCACCGGGGACCCAGGCGTGCGCGGGGCCGTGGGTGGGCAGAGAGAGACCCCCCCACCCCCCCCCTCCCCGGGAATCCCCCAGGGACCCCCCTGGCCTCAGGCCGGGGGTCCCCTCTGCCCCCCAGCAGCCGCCCTGCCTGGCCGGGGTCCCCGCGGGAACAAGCCCGGCTCTGTCCCCGCTCAAAGCGGGATTGAAGGGGCTGCACCTGCTTAATATTCCCCGCGCTTCCGCCCCCGGCTGCGTTTCCAAGGGGACCCGGGCGAGGGGCCCCCGGCGTGGCTGGGGGGGGACCCACGGCCGAGATGAGGGTCGGGAAGAGGCATGGGGACCCCCCCCGCGGGGCTCAGGGCTGGGGGACCCTCAGCCGGGTCCCCGCCATCGCGGGAAGATGGGCGGGATGCTGGGGATGGTGCTGGGGAAGGTGCACGGGGAGATGGAGTCCTGCCAGGGCAGCAGCACCCATCCTGCACCCCCAGCCCCTCCCCAGCACCCCCAGACAGGGCAGCAGCACCCATCCTGCACCCCCAGCCCCTCCCCAGCACCCCTACACAGGGCAGCAGCACCCATCCTGCACCCACAGCCCCTCCCCAGCACCCCTACACAGGGCAGCAGCACCCATCCTGCACCCACAGCCCCTCCCCAGCGCCCCTAGACAGGGCAGCAGCACCCATCCTGCACCCACAGCCCCTCCGGACAGGGCAGCAGCACCCATCCTGCACCCACAGCCCTGCCCCAGCACCCCTACACAGGGCAGCAGCACCCATCCTGCACCCACAGCCCCTCCCCAGCACCCCCAGACAGGGCAGCAGCACCCATCCTGCACCCCCAGCCCCTCCCCAGCACCCCTACACAGGGCAGCAGCACCCATCCTGCACCCACAGCCCCTCCCCAGCACCCCTACACAGGGCAGCAGCACCCATCCTGCACCCACAGCCCCTCCCCAGCGCCCCTAGACAGG